TAAGCATTAAGTGCTTGCCTAAATATTTCCTGGATGTGCGTCCATAATATGAATGTATTCAGATCAAAATAGCCGCCTCCCCAGAGATCTTCCCCCTTTCCTGATAAAAGCGAGATCCGTCGGCTGATCACACAATAATTTTAAACTGCTTGTGCCTTTCAGTTGTCTTGGCTTGAAATGCCCTTTGATCCATTCACGGTTAATGGGAGCACCATTATCTCCGTAGGTTTCCACAGTGGCTCATTCAGACATGCTTACAAAGAAATAGTTTCTGAGCTTTGGTTATTTTTAACCTGCAATGCAGGGGTGAAATCCAGCAGGTTCTGACAGGTTCTGGAGAACCGGTAGCGGAAATTTTGAACAGTTTGGAGAACCGGCAAATACCACCTCTGGCTGGCCCCAGAGCGGGGTGGGAATGGAGATTTTGCGATATCCTTCCCCTGCCACCCGCACCAAGCCACGCCCACCACACCACGCCCACCAAGCCACGCCCACAGAACTGGTAGTAAAAAAATTTGGATTTCACCACTGCTTCAATGTTCTTTCTGTGCCAACTCAGGAAGCTCAAACTGCCCAAGGACTATCATTAAGTGTTGTATCTTATGATTCTCGATGAATGTATCTTGTCTTTTATGTACACTGAGAGCATATGCACCAAAGACAAATTCCTTGTGTGTCCAATCACACTTGGCCAATAAAGAATTCAATTCAATTCAATTCAATTCAATTCAATTCAATTCAATTCTATTCTATTCTATTCTATTCTATTCTATTCCATTCCATTCCATTCCATTCCATTCCATTCCATTCCACTCCACTCTCCACTCCACTATTCTATTCTTCTACTCTACTCTACTCTACTCTACTCTACTCTACTCTACTCTACTCTACTCTACTCTACTCTACTCTACTCTACTCTACTCCACTCCACTCCACTCCACTCCACTCCACTCCACTCTCCACTCCACTCCACTCTTCTATTCTTCTACTCTACTCTACTCTACTCTACTCTACTCTACTCTACTCTACTCTACTCTACTCTACTCTACTCTATTCCATTCCACTCCACTCCACTCCACTCCACTCTCCACTCCACTCTTCTATTCTTCTACTCTACTCTACTCTACTCTACTCTACTCTACTCTACTCTACTCTATTCTATCCACTCCACTCCACTCCACTCTTCTATTCTTCACTCTACTCTACTCTACTCTACTCTACTCTACTCTACTCTACGCTACGCTACGCTACGCTACGCTACTCTACTCTACTCTACTCTACTCTATTCTATTCCACTCCACTCCACTCCACTCCACTCTTCTATTCTTCTACTCTACTCTACTCTACTCTACTCTACTCTACTCTACTCTACGCTACGCTACTCTACGCTACGCTACTCTACTCTACTCTACTCTACTCTACTCTACTCTACTCTACTCTACTCTATTCCACTCCACTCCACTCCACTCCACTCTTCTATTCTTCTACTCTACTCTACTCTACTCTACTCTACTCTACTCTACTCTACTCTACTCTACTCTACTCTACTCTACCCTACTACTCCACTCCACTCCACTCCACTCCACTCCACTCCACTCCACTCTCCACTCCACTAATGTGCTGGGACTAGCCTGATGAATACCTGCTAGGCAGATGCATTCAATGCTATGCAGTATTAAACGAGAAATGCATTTCCTAATAACATTGTCCTGACTATAACCAAATTTTGAAAATTTTTGAAACCTTCCCTTTCTTTGCTATTAAATCTCAGCCGTAAATTCTGTGCCTTGACTTTCGGAAATAATAATACAGTTACTGAACTGCTAAACTTCACACCCTCTTAGATTTCTTGGCAAATTTTAAACAATGTTAAGGTTGGTTGGAATAAAGTAATTTATAATGATTTCTAATGCACTGGAACATTTTGGGTAGGAGATTGCTTTCTAATTTACTGGAACACACACACACACACACACACACACACATATATTCGAGAGCGAGAAGTAAATATATTATTTAAAACATGCACGTTAGGAAAGTGATTGCAATGATTAACTCTCAGTGGAGATTTTGAAAAGGAGAAACATTTGGGAAAATGAAGGTTAATTTCCTTCCATACAGAATAACTTTCTGTGGAGTCCTTGGGGCTCACTGAACATGGTTGTTTTCTTGCAGACGTTTCATTACCCAGCAAGGTAATATCATCAGTGCTAGAAGGGAGTGGGGTTTGAGGAAGAGGAGGAGAAGAAGAGGAGGAGGAGGAAGAGGAAGAGGAGGAGAATGACAACTGTGGGGTCCTTGGGGCTCTCTGACCCTGGTTGTTTTTTCGCAGATGTTTCATTGCCCAATTAGAAAGGTCATATAAAATGGGGCAAAACCAGGAGTGAAATGCTCCCGGTTGCAATGGCGGCAGATGGTTCGGAGAACCGGTAGCAAAAATCCCTCCCCCCCCCGTGCCCAGCTGAGCCGCACGATCATCAGAGGCTGTTTTTTTTACTTTTAAAAGCATCTTTTCTACAACCTCTTCAGCTGAAAAAATGCTTTTAAAAGTAAAAAAAAAAAAAGCCTCTGATGATCAGGCAACTCAGCTGGGATCCTCAAAGGCTTTTTAAAAGCATTTTTTCTATAACCTCTTCGGCCGAAGAGGTTGTAGGGGGGAAAAAAAATGCTTTTAAAAGGCTTCTGACGATCCCAGCTGAGTTGCCTGATCATCAGAGGATTTTAAAAGCATTTTTTTCTGCAACCTCTTCAGCTGAAGAGGTTGTAGATAAAATGCTTTTAAAAGTAAAAAGTAAAAAAAAATAAAAATAAAAATGGCCACGCCCACCCAGTCACATTACCAAGCCACGCCCACAGAACCGGTAGTAACAGATTTTTACATTTCACCACTGGGCAAAACTCACTTAACAACCATCTCATGTAGCACCATGAATTTTGCACTCAATTGTAGTCATAAGTCAAGGACTACCTGTAATCGGTTAATATATATAATAGATTGACCGGATTCTATTGAATCCGGCGCATCTGGCTACCCAAAGGAAGCAAAGCCATTTCTCTAAGCGGCAAAGGAAGCCTTGAGATAGATTCAAACCATGAAAGGACCCGATCCTCAAGGAAGCATCTTGGAAAGAGCAGGGATCCCAGGTGCGATCCTATCTGATCAAATAGATTGATCGGATTCTATTGATCATCAGCTCATCTGGCTATCCAAAGGGAGCAAAGCCATTTCTCCAAGCAGGCAACTATCTCCAAGCAGATAGTTGCAAACCTTGGAAGAACCGGATCCTCAAGGATAGCATCCTCGAAGGAGCAGGGATCCCCGGGCGCGATCCCATCCGATCAAATAGATTGATCGGATTCTATGGAGCACCAACGCATCTGGCTATCCAAGCCCTTTCTCCAAGCGGCCAAGGAAGCCTCATAGGATCATAGGTGCAAACCGGGGAAAGGACCCCCAGATCCTCAAGGAAGCATCCTGGCGATCCCACCAGGTCCTCTGACACTTTCCTGGGGGGGGGAAGGAGGAGTGGGGAGAGGGGGGG